ACAAGGTCCATTCTCACAGGAACCGGCCCCTATATATATATATATATATATATATATATAAATATATATATATATATATATATATATATATATATATATATATATATATATATATATATATATATATATATATATATATATATATATATATATATATATATATATATATATATATATATATATATATATATATATATATATATATATATATATATATATATATATATATATAGACACACACACACACAACTCTCTCCGGTCCTAAAAACATGGGAGTTACTAATTTCTAAGAGATTTATGAGAAATGTATTTTGGTATTAAATTTCTAAAAAAATTCTTTGATGTGATGGTAAAAGTAGAATTTGATGAGTAGATTATTAGTAAAAAAATATGATGTAATGACTATGATATGAAAAAATAAAGGGTAAGAGTTATTTTTTATTAAAAATAAAAATTATTTTTTGGGACAGATAAAAAAAAGGAAAAAGGTTTTCGAAATGGAATGGAGTTCATTATTACGGAGATTATTGATCCAAAAATTGAATTCATCTACCACCTTTCCTCCCCATTTCTTTGTGTGGGCCCTTAATAAGAAGTCTTCAAAACTTCTTTGTCATGTTCTCTTTATTTTGTTTGAATAGTTCTAATCTGATTGAAATAAAATTGACTTGATCTAGTTCGATCTGATCTAAAAATAGTTATATTTAAAACTGTTTATGACCAAATCTGATTAGATTCTACTAAAAATAAGTAATAAGTATAAAAAATAAGGTTTGGAGACCAAAAGACCAGGGTGGCGTTATCAACCAAAAAAGGGCGGGAGATGCTAGGGGTACACCAAATGTGTACCCCATTTGTACCACACCCCCTCCATAACCACTCATTTCAATTTGATTTTTATTTACTTATATTTTTTTAATTTTCTTGCCTATTTGAATGATTATTGAGGGGGTGGGGGACAAATGGGGTATACCAAATGGTGTATCCCTAGCATTTTCCAAAAAGGACAGTATGCTTTGTGAATAGTGCTGGTTTGAAATCTAGGATCAGATTTCTTATAACCCAATTTGGATTTAAGAGTCCGAGAGTCTAATTCAATTTGGATTGACAAATTATTGACCGACATGCTAGTCGAACTTTAATTATTATGATTTTTTTTACCTATTTTCATACATAGTAAAATATAGAGTAATATAAGTATACTCGTATAAGTCGTATTATATCTTATTTTGTAGAGTTTTTATTTAATTTTTAAATATGTAATTTTCATTTTTTATATCAATTAGAGATAAATTAAATTTAAATATATTCTGTCAAACATTGTAAAATACAATGAGAATCTTTTTTTAGACAGAAGGAACAAATACAAAAAAGGATGAGCCTCATCCTCGAAGACCCCTCAAACCTCGTGAAAGGTCATTGAAATGAGGTAAATTAGACTTTGATCGCATGACTGAATTATCAATGTACTACTCTGGGGTACTTGTTTTTTTAAAGAACATGTGAAGTTGGTATTATGAGTGTTTCTTTGATACACCTTTGATGCATCTCATTTTTGGGAACCTTCTCACATAAATTTTTTTTTATACTTTTTTACTTAAAAAAATAAATGCTTATTTACATAATAAATAAATGGTTATTTTGCTCAAATCTAGTTCTATGATGGACCTTAGGTCCACCATATAAGTTGCCTATGATTATTCTAGATAACTTTTCCTCAAATAAGAAGAAATAAGACATTAATGTTCTATAGAGTGTTAAATGCTAAAACTCACCACTCCATATATTTTTATTTTATTTCTTACTAGTTTCAGATTAATTTCTATTGATCACTACGGAGTATTTTTTATTAACTTTGTACTCTCTCCGTCCTAAAAC